GATATGATTATGTAGTAGAGGATATATAGCATTGTGGACTAGTCTCTCAAAGATTTTAGAAAGTACCGGCAGTATGGATATAGGTCGGTAATTCTCGACGTCATTTTTTGAACCACCTTTATACACAGGTACGATCCTCGCGCTCTTCCATATTTTTGGTACTACACCCTCAGTCAAACATCTATTGAAGAGATAACATAGAGGCTGATCAATAACTGTTGCAGTTTCCTTAAAGAAGATGGGTGGTATGTTATCTGCTCCGGAACCCTTAGTAATATCTAACGATTTTAATGACTTGCAGATTTCAGTTCTGGTCAAAGTAAGATTACTGATTGTAACATCCGACATGTTTCCCGATACGGTGCCAAGGTCAGCTATGGTTAAGTTTTCAGTTACATCAGAAGGCCGGTACACCGAGAGAAAAAAATTACTAAATAAATTACAGGCCTCTTCGATAGTACCAGCCCTGATCGATTTGTATTGTATATCTGTAGGTATATCTGTTGAGCGCTTGCGATGGGAAACATAACTCCAAAAATACTTTATGTTAACCTTTATGCTAGTCTCTAATAACGCCATATACTGCATGTAACATTTTTCCGACATGATCTTAAATTCCTTTCTATATCTAGAGAAAACGTTATAGTTTGACTCACTATAATACTTTTTCATTCTAATCCATGCTTGATTTTTTTTCTTACTTAATTTTATCAATTTTGCCGTGAACCAGACCGGGTACGATTGTGATTTAATAACTTGTAAAGGTATATTTTGTTTAATGATACTGTATAATTTTTCATAAAAACAGGATACCGCCTCCTCAATCTCCCTATTCATTAATAGTTCATTCCAATTTATAATAGACAACTCTTGTTTAATTTTATCGTAATTAGCTTTGTTAAAACTGTATTTGGAAGATGGCTTACGTTGGATGTAGCTACTATTACTTATGAATGGTACCGAGACCCAGAACGGGGGATGATGTTCATCTGTGGACACTAATGAATTAGGGGCCGAAAACAGTACGCAATCCAACACATTAGTGAAAAACAAATCTAATATGGTTTTATTGTGATTTTGTAATGTATTTATTTGGTAACAGTTTGATATTGTCATGAAGTTATTTATGCACCGGTGTGTTTGATTTAAATCAGCACAGCTTAGACACTTTTTGTATGGCTCCCCATTAATCCAATTCAATTTAGGTAAATTAAAATCCCCAACGACAATCAAATACTCTCCGTTATTACTTTGATCCACTAATTTTTTTTGCAAAGCATAAAAAAAGTCATTATAAACTTGATTGTTTTGCTTTGGTGGAATGTAAACAGCACCAACACAAAAACGGGTTTTAGTTAAATGTAGTTCGATAAATACTTGGTCTATGATGGAGGGGACAGGCGAGATCGATGCGAGTGCGCAGCCGGCACACAGCGCGCGCCGCACGGCAATCAGTACGCCACCACCATCGCGTCGACCGCTCGAATCTCGATCTCGGTCCGCGCGAAATATTACATATCTGCTATCAATAAACTCATTATCTGAAATATCTGTATGCAACCAAGTTTCGGTTAGTATGACAATATCGTACGAATTTGACAATACATTCATGTATAGTGTATGTAGTTTGGTTCTAAGGCCCCGGCAATTCTGGTAATAAATAGAAATATTTTTAGTGTTATCCATTTATAGCTATACCTTCATAAAGTTTAGTTGTTAGATTTGTTAGATACCCGCTCTGATTATACATGTATATTAGTGAAATAATTTGTAATATCGAGAACTGCTGTGTTTGTGTAAGTAATAGGTAATAGATAACACCGAGCAGCCAGCCATCGTTGCATTTTATTAGAATTATTATTGGAACATATATAAAGTACGAGCAAAGTATTGTTAGAAATATTTTCCGATACATAATATTACAACTACATGAAAACCTGATTGAACCTGCAAACACACACAACCCAGGAGACCCACACATTGTTAGAGTTATATAAACATAACAATACACTATAAAGTACAGATGAATGCAGCAAATATTAACCAAAGTTTCATTTAATTTTCTTGACATCGTGCTCCTTACGAACCGCAAAGATCTCGGACGAGTCCGTTTGACGCACCAATATTGTACCATTCTTAATCCATACGTATTTGTAGTTTTGTTTGGTTGCGGCCTCGCGACACATCCGAAATAATTGTTTATTCTTGCCAGTAAGATGTTCATTTATATATACATTCTGTGCAGTCCCTGATATAGACAACTGATCTGATTTTAGTCCTTTAGCTAACTTTGCCGCTTCGATGAAGTTATTACGAAGAATCTTAGTTGTAAATCTCACTATAATATTTTTCGGTCGAGTAGTTTTCCTATCGAAGTGCGGTACTCTGTGAACTGACACGACGTCGGACATTTTAATCGGATGTTTAATAAAACTCCCAAGCCTCTCTAATATGGTGACTAGATTTTCATCCCGGCGCTCAGGAACATTAGCAATTTCTACATTATATAGCCGGGCCTGCTGCTGCATAGAGTTAATTATTCATATTGTAGGTCAGGTAGTTGACTTATTACATCTATGTTTTGCTTCATTTTTTCTTCCATTTCACGCAATCGTGTATCAAAAGAATCCTGACGATCCATAGCATAAGATAATGATTGTTCAACATTGTCCAATCGATCGCTGACTTGCTTGATCAAATCACTGAAAGAAGCCCTCATTTTCTCCATCTCTTGCTCCATGATAGATTGCATAGAGGTTTTTATTGTTGTAGCTATAGATATTTCCAGCTCATTTTTCCATGCATTTAGTTTCTCATCAATTTTATTTTCGAGGCTTACCCGCATGTCGTCTATATTACAATCGTCCCCGCTGTCGGGCTGTTTACGTTTGTGCGAGTTTAATTTACGTGAACTGACAAATGCCTTGTCACTATTTCGCAGTGATTCGGGTAAATCAGGATTAGACGAAACCTTTGGGAGTAGGCCCGCAGTCTTTAATGGTGATGGTCGCTGCATCGTTTATCTTCAAAGGGCCAGGTATGCGGAGATTAGGTTGTGACGTTCGTGCTTACTGCGGTCGCAGCTCGTAGATGCAGTGCAATGAGGTGACAGCAGGAGCGTTTACAATATTATGCTTGTTTTTGCACTCCAATGTTTAACTAAAATCGCACTCAAAGTACTTTTCACCGTAACGATCGGAAACACGTCCGTATCTCACCGGTTCAACGAACGAATGAAACAACGGACGTTATGTAGGTACCTATTGAAAAGTTTCGTAGCAAACAAATAATTTACAATTTTAATCAAACAATGGTCCTTTCTCTTTATACAAACATCCAATCTAATCGAAGAGCTTCGATTTACGTTACCTGATGACACTCAACAGCCTCACTACCAAGAATCAACTCGAGTATCTACTATGGAAAACCCTTAAAAATTCCTATCACAAAATAAATCTACGTATCTCAATACCATGTTTTGTTTACGTTTGCGCGTTTAGCTGACGAGTGGCGACACTTGGTGCGTAGGGTCCACGAAACCCGGTAACAATACGCGTTGCTCCCAAGTGTCACTTGTCGGTGGCTGAATAGAGGCCATTAGGCCCGCCTCACCCGCGCAGGGCGTTTCCGCAGTACACCACAAGGTACCTGGGGAAATACTCCGGAAAACACTGTCTTCAAATATGTATGACAGGTATTAAGTTTAGTGTTTATGAGATGGCTGCTTAAGTGACGGGGGATCATGTTTTCTTTCAACCATCTTTTACATATTTTACCTACATAGAATAAGTTTTTAAAACATGTCTACCTGTTTACATTTATCCTACGCACTGCGCACTGGATCACCGAAGCTATGTGTATAATTAATCAAGTGCCTAGAACTCGCCAAGGGATTCTAATCTTACCCAATAAATCTAAGTAAACTAGATTTCAGCGACCAGTACTAAAATATCTAACTTAGTAACACAGTTACGACTTGAGATAAACTTGGGTACCTATAACTAAAACAAGGAAATTTGTGACGAAAATGTCAGCAGGGCGACCGACATTTCCCTTAGCAGTATAGAGTACATTTTACTCTTACGCCCAGACGAACACGAAAGTTAATTGCGACCGAGTACAAACTACAAAACATTCTTTTTGAAACACAAACATAATCGTGGGAATCGTAAAGCGCTGCAGCGCTGCAATACGGGCCCTTCACAAAATGGCCGTCGCAGTTCCCGCCTTTGTCACAAAGCGCGGGAAACTGACGCCTGAAGAATTGCTAGCCAGTTCACCGCGAACGAATAGCTTGTTCTCTGTTGAATTTTTAGAACTATTCAATAGTTTAAAATATATAGCTATACCTACAAAATATTTAAGTACTCTGTGGCACGTTGAATTCATAGTAATTTGTGTAATGAAACGTGTATTTTCATAAATATACTGAATAAATAATATGCTAACATAATTATGTCGCGCGTTCTATTTCTAGTACATACATAGTATTAAATGCTCGCACTCACAAAGTAGTGCAGTTATTACGAGCAAAAAATGTTACCAAGTGTATATATCGGTTTAAATTATGAAAACACGAACGAATATCATGTTTATTTTACCATAATATTAGTACTAACGTGTAGGTATGTGAAATGTGAACAAATAACACGAAAAACGGATGGAAAAGTGTTAATAACTTTGTTTTGATGCTTTTATTTATTCTGAAAACTTATATTTTTATCATAATGTTACATGGTTGTATGAATAAGATATATTTACTATGTAAGTTGTTCGGCGTTTCAAAAATTGAAAAGCGAATATTAATTATCCTTGGACTTATATTGAAATCAAAAAGAAACTGTTTATTATTATTGTATTAGAAATGTAGTTTCGATGTTGCGAGTACTTACAAACACTAACTTTGACTCTCCAAAGGGAAAAATACAAAACCTACGCAAAGTCACAGACGAAGTACTAGGTAAGCAGATAATAAAATAGCGTTATTTACTTAAACTTACCTCTGGCAGTTGGAAAGTAAACCGTGGCGGGTGTATACAGTATTCCAGCCACATCGGTCGGATGCATTGGAGCAGCTATTGCCTCTAAAAGCGTATTCGTGTCCGTACAGTTCCCCGTTAAAGTTTTTCAGCGTAACACTGACATAGAAAGGCGAAAGGCGATACAAAAGTGTACTCTGTTTCGAAAAACTCTCAGCTAAGTCTCTTAATAGTCATCGCGTTGTCGACTTTCAAGGATATCGAGGCTTTTATATTGAATTTTGACGTCAGATTTATGGAAACATAAATGTGTAACTGATGTAACAGAGTAGTGGTTTCCAATGAATGGAGTGCAAATTTTACTTAGAAATAAGGTGTTCTGTTTAGTAATAGGTATTGTATTTTTTTGAGACGATAAAGAAACAGAGGGCGACAAACTAAAAGATGGGAGGATGACACACAAAAAGGAGGCTAGTCCAGAATGGATTCGAGTAGCAAAAGCAGAGAAAAATGGAAATCTTTGGAGTAGGCCTATGTCGAAAGACAAGCTGTTTTTATACCGAACGCCGGTATACGAAGATATAAGTAAGATGAAACATTTGTAAAGTATTATAGGTAGTTAGCTAATTGATGTTAATGTTTGTAAGTTTAAGCAGCAATAAAGACTTATTTTATTTTTTTTTGTATCTTTTTAAAGGGTTTCGTAACGTAGGTAAGGGTACCGCTCGCGAACCGTGAACTGAATTTGAATTTTAAATGCACTCACTCAGCTCGCGGGCGACTTGCGAGCGGCTCGCGAGCTGCACATTCGCGGAGCATTCACCAGATGTGTAAGCACCCTAAGAACATATAGGTAGGCAATTATTACTGGGGAGAAGGGCTTCCGAAAGTAACGATACAGTCAAGTAGTGTGTTGGGCATCTAAAGCTCTCTTAACAGACGAAACGCAGCAACATTTCATAACCACTTGACGCTGGTTTCAGTGAGAGTGTGGTACTTCCCCGATCAAGCTATTCAATTTGCACAGCCATTCAAGCTTGTCAATTTTGAATTGGATGACCTTTAAAGACTGTCTTCGTGTAGTACCTAGCTAATTCATGTGTAAGAACGTAAGGCCACTGGTACCATTTACTTATTAAAGTCAAGGCGTTTATTACAACTAAGTGTACAGGTGATATATTAGAAATGCGACCTATTGCGATTAGGTAAGTTATTGTTATCAGTGTTATCTTTCATTTCTAGTTCAACAAAGTTTATTGCTGATACAATGATTGTTTGCATCTTATCATACTGTACAGGAGTTTATCTAGCTACCAACAATCGATTATATTATGCAATTATTTGTAAGTGTATAAGTACCTACTTATGATATATTATAGGTGTGTATGTTTTTTTACGGCATAAGCCGGTAAACGAGCTGACGGATCACCTGATGGTAAGTAATCGGCGCCGCCCATGGACACCTGAAACACCAAGGCGCTATAAGTGTGCTATATGTGCTAAACTATTAAAGGAGTACCTACTTTTTAATCCTAAACGGATCAAAGTGTAAGAAAAATATTATTTTTGCCTACGCTTTTATTAATCGACTTCAAAAAAGAGGTAGGTTCTCAGTTTGACCTGTATGTATGTGTACGTATGTATGTGTGCGATTATCTCGCAACTGGCTGAACCGATTTTGATGCGGTTTTCAGTAAAGTGTTTGTTACATTTAGGAGTAGCTTGAGTAGTTGAAATTGGTTTTAGAAAATAGTTTTGTCTTTTATTAAATCAATAGTAAGCATTCCTAACACATATAGTTTTCACAAATTATACCTAGACATTTTGCAGCCTACTTGGTAATACAGAACACGCCTACAATATTAAATAGAATACCTAATTAATTGAAGCGTTAATTATTAATCAGTTGATTGGAGTTGTTATCAAATATCGGCTTGGAACCAGGTCAGGCTATTGTGGAAGTGTGGCGATCAAATCAGCATGATTGTCCGGTCAGAGAGTGAACCAATCAATAGCTTTGGATTAGTCAAATGAATTACTTTGTTAATTAATACTCTGTTATGATTATCTCGTTCTATGCGGCTTGAGAAGCGATTAGGTGGGTGACATGATATAGGTTTATCCAATTTTTGCCAGTTTACTACGTACTGTTTCCATTTCTGGCCCAGTGGTTGTAAGTGCGACTGCTGGGCAAGGGGTTTCGGGTTCGATTCCCAGGGTCGGATAAAGTGATACCGGGATTTAAAAAAAATCTCAGTGGTTGCACGAAGTCTAGAATCGTGCCCGGTATATGGTAATAGGCTGTAATAGGTTACACGGGACTAATAACATAAATATTGTACATTGGCATTAAGTGCTCTAATGTGCTCCTCTGCCTACCCCTTTCCGAGATAAAAAGGCGTGATGTTATATTGGTTCCATTTTCAGACTGTCTTGTTATTTTAGTAAATTTTTGTAAACGAGGAAACTTACGATGTTTAAGTTTTTGGCAAATACTACAGATAGTAATGGCACGAATAGTAATAGTCCAGGATTAACCTCAAGATAACACATCTTGAGGTTAAAAAAATTGTCGTTACAATGTATTCTCATTTAAGTACGTCTTATACGCTCTTTCTATTCCTTCAAATAAGAATAGGCATGATGACTTATGGAGTATGTGATGTTTAAATTACTTTTGTACTTAAAAAAAAAACTAAAAAGTATGCACAGTAGAATGCTATTGTAGGACAAGCAAAAATCAATTCACACTTCATCCAAGACAAATTGTGAAGGAAACGCGAAGATATAGTAAGGCAGCATCATCCTGTACATACATCATCCAATAGCCATACTATACAGGATGTATGGATAATTCAGAGCCACTGGAGGGTGGCGTGACCATAGATAACGTGCCGGAACTAGAGGAAGGTGTCGCGCGAACCGGATGTGCTGCGATCCGTTGCGTTATCGCCACCGCGTCCGGCTGCTAGGCATTTCTGTGAAATATTATGTTTATACAATAGTTTATCTGTGGAATGAAGGGAAGAAAAGTATAGAGGGTTGGTATTAAGTCCCTTCGTAGTTGAACCTTTTTGGTGGTACCGTAAACGTATATCATGTTGCTGTTTTTGCCCGGACTTGTATAATCTACGGTTGAAGTTTTTATTTGATGTCCTTGTTTAAAGTATTGTGCATGAGTTTTTCTATGGGTTGCTGTAATGCTTTTTTATGATTTTTTTTTTATTTTTAAGGGGGGAAATTCATTGAATGACTTATCCCGCCTGGGTGAGGCGGGAGGGAGTGTCAGACTCTTACTGACTAAAAATCACCCCGTTCCTTCTTCTGCACTTCGAGCGGGAGCCCCGGTAACCCGTTAGGTTCTCCGCGACATGCTTTTTTATGATAGGGACCAAATTTCAAAAGGCGCGTAACTTTCAGGAGAAAATGACAAAGGTTTCACCAAAACTACATATTTATATATGTATTATATAGTATTTATATCATATTGTATGTATGCATATTTAGGATACATAATTTATTTTAAGCCCCTATGTTCTTAGTTATGTATTATTGATTATAACAATCATGTATTCCCCTTTAATATTTTATTACAGAAGTTAAGACTTTTGTTATCTACTTCATACTTTCTTTTCTACAATTTTGCACCTACCGCTTTAACATTCTGCACTACCGGTCGACTGTCAGAAAATGCCTACGGCATTAAGTCCGCCAATTAGATATATTTTGTTGGATTATAGGTTTTTCACCGGATATTGTCATAGATTTTTGTGATTGAAATAGTTTTTACGAAAAATTACTTTATGGTGCCTTCCCCATTTCTATGAACCTTTTCTAGGCCAAGTGAAACATAGTCTTTTTTTTATTATTTTACGCTGTTCTGGATTCTTTGCGGTAAGTATTTTAAATACATACCTACATACCTAAATCAAAATAGGTTCATGAGCTTAGATTAGAGTGGGTACATTGTAGTTCACTCTTATTATATCAAGTATAAAATGTAAAATGAAATATTTTAAGTGCTATATACATTTTATTAAAATTGAGTTTCCCATTCCAAAAACTATATGAAAATCTATAAATTTTATATAAAATGCAGAGTAAATTTTAATGAATTCAACAAGCATATAGTAGTGTTAATATGCGCTACATTTCGGAGGCTACAATTATATCGGCGACTGACGCAGTGAGTGCAGGCATGCGTATCGGCAAATTGGCGGGTCAGGCTTATGTCACCAGGAGTTCCGATGCTGTGGAGTGGGTAATAAGATTTTCAGTGATTTATTAGTACTAGGTTTTTGTTATTTTTAATTGATGATAGAGTAACCTTTAAAAGACGCAGGCTATCTTTTTTTTCGTAAGAAAACGTTGCCCCATACTAGAATTTTCTATTGTGTCGTGGGTGCGTTTACAAGCATACAAGTTCAGACACACATAATACCCAGCCTCGAAACAACAATTTGTGGATCAAACAGAATTGCTCCGTACGGGAATCGGACTCACTGCACGTTGCGCGGCAGCCGGTTGCCGAACCACCGCGCCAACTGTGCTAATAGCTATATAAAGTTGTAGTCGGGATAATGAATCCTTATATTCACATAAGTAAAGGCAATTATCTAGCAACGTCTATCAGTCTGTTTGTTTATTTGGGATAAACACAAAAAATAATTCTTTCCGCTATAGAAACATCCATAGCGGAAAGAATGATTTTTGAGAAAGGTTTCAGAGTATATTTGTTGCAGTCAGAAAGCGCTTAATACGTATTTGTAAATTTCTCATTCAATAGGCTCATCCCCTATGACTTGGGACTCATAACATAAATAGTGAAAAGTAGGTAATGTGCACCTCTGCCTACCCATTCGGGGATAAAACGCGTGATCTTATGTTATGTTATGCTATGCTATATTATGATATGTTATGTTATTATGTTCCATTTTCAGACTTATTATGATCTTATTATGATAGTAATTTTTTGGAAACTAGTTAAAACTAACGATGTCTTCGAGTCTTACGATGTTTTCGGCATATACAATAATAGCACGAAGTCCAGGATTGAAATAATAACAAGGATTACGTAGTTATATCATAGAGGTAAATAATAATCCGTATATTCAGATATATTAACCATTACCAATGTTCACCTTCATTACATGTGTATTTAATGATGTACTACAGTTTATAGCTCGGAGTTCCACGACACAGCTCTACTCACTGCATTTTCGCCCGTAGAATTATCGAGGTTCATTAAAATTTACCTCTTTGCTTTATTCCTGTATTGTTTTTGATTTATATGCTCGTAATGATAATGATATAACATAACA